ATGATGTGACGAAACGGGTCCAGTGGGGCTGAAAAAAAAGTGGCCATGAAATGATACTTGATGATTTTTTGGAGCAAGACATGATTCGCAGTTTTTTCAGGGTATCCTTCATTTCGCTATGTCACGGCTATCACTCTCTGGCAGGGCAACTGGGGCTGTGCCATGGGTGGAACATAGGATGTGAGGGGATCATGCCAGTTCCATCAAGGGCAACCTTGTAAAGCAAAACTCGTGTTGGAACATGTTGGGAACGTATCGGTGGTAACAGTTAACATAGGTCAAACTTGTTTGTGTTAATATGAGTCTTAGCCGTAGCTTTTTCATATTCTTTGGCGCCGTATCACTTATGTTAATCATCATTTGCCCCATTGAATGGCTGGCATAAGTTGGGGGACCCTATTTCAGACAGACCCATCTTCATTATTCACTTTATTAGATCAAGTATACGTGTATAATATTGGATAATATATGATATAATATGTGTATATATATATATATATGTAAATACAAATCCCTATTTCTGATGGTTTAATCCCCATTTTGGTTCCACATTAGAGATCCTACGTCACGTGCACCTTTCACCGTCTCGGAACGTGCCAGGGCACATGGAACGGGAAGCGGTTGCTTGGAACGGTCAAAGTTGGGGTGGAATTTTGGTGCTGATATGATTGGGGGGATGGGGAGACCAATTCCATCTATAGTTGGCGAATACTGTGGGTTAATATGACTGAGCATCATGATTGGTTTTCCCATCTTCCGAAAAACTGATTGGGGATCAATAGATGTCCCAATTTCCCCCTGGTTGGCTACTACAGTAGAGGCTTCCCTCCATTCAACAACCAATAAATTAAATATTGAATCATAAAGTCTAAAAGGACGATATTGATTGGGGATTGATAGATTAATCCATAGGAATCCCATTTTGAGTCATTGAGGAATCGGGATGATTGACCATTGGGATAAGATAGATTAATCCAATGCGCCTCATATTGAACATGCCACAAAATGGAGAGATCCAATACTTAAACAGGGTTTATGGGATGGTATGGTATTTGATATTTCCATAGAGTTGGATGATGGGAAAATTTACCGGAAACCCCTACATTTGATGGTAAAAACCAGGGTTTCCTGTAGATTTTCCCAACAAAACCAATCCATTGATATTTGGGGAAAAGGATGAAAAAAAACGCCAGCAGATACTGCGGTTACCGCTACGTGTGCCATGTAAGAAACACTTTGGCAGACTGGCAAGTTTTTTTGGGGATGGTCATGAATCCATGAAAAACAATGACATACCCATTATCAGGATTCCCATGGCACATCAAAAAGGGGATGAGCCAATACCTCTCGAGGTCAGAATGGCAGATGAAAATGACTGTACCGTCGCCAGCTATTTTGGTGCATGAAGGTACCAGGGTTACAAGGGCCACCAGAATTTTGGCCCGTGTCCTTCTATCAACTGGGTCATCAAAGTGGCCGTAACCCCTATTGGCTATGGATGGGCTTGGGGAAACCATGCACCAACCGTTCTCCAACATTTTAGGTGACTCTAATATGTTACGACCAAAAAAAGAGGGGCTATAACCTCACTTATGAACTTAGAATGGATTGATTTAAGGGAACATTTGCAGGAAAACAAGGTTTCTAACCCCAAATATGGGGCTTTCCTGTAGGTTTTCCCTTAAAACAATTCTGGGAAACTTAGAACCTAGTATATAATTGCTGTCTTCAATTTCACTTTTTCAATAGGAATAAGTGAGCATTTTGGCAGCTGTTTGGAACATTTGCATCTGATGTGCACAATCTGTGTGGGCTGACGCATTCCTGGGTCTTTCACCAGATTTTTCGAAGTACCAACTCTGGAAAGCTAAAAAGCTCCAATCAACATCTTTTCTGGGGGACATTCCACCCGCAAATTTGCGAGTTTGTTGGTGCCTCAGCTGAGGACCAGTACCAGCAGTTCTACAAGAACTGCGATGTGAATGCCTACCTCCAAACAGAGCAACTCGAAAACGCGGCCACCGTTTTTTTTTCTACCTTCGGAAAATCAAACGTGGCTGGGAAATTCCTAACCTAAATGGGCATATATATATATATATGGTGCCATATATATAATTATATAGATACAATAATATTATATATATATATATATACATATGGAAACATCATCGAAAGCACTGGGGACAATAGCAGCCATTGATGGAAAAATGGCAGACTGGGATCTTCCCTCCGGTATCATCAAACATGGCGTGGTTACCCGGCCTGGTAATGACGAAAAACAGTTTGCGACATAGAAAATGGCATAGAAATAGTTGATGACTACCCACTAAAAATGGTGTTTTTCCATAGTTATGTTAGTTTACCAGAGGTTATGTGGGATTTCTCATCTAGCCATGCTTGATGACATTGTTGCGGGTATGCAATCGAATCCATCTCTGAGGTTGAAGAAATACTTGGCCGGCGATCGGTTCAGGACCGACCCAGAACCGACCCGGCTGGTCAGGCTTCCGTCCTCAAAACTCCAGGGAAAAAGGAATGGTGGGACTCTTCTATGTTTCAGAGAACTGGATAATTCTTTTTTTTGATCTTCAAGCATTTTCAGATGTTCCATCAGGCTTTGAACGTGGATAAATCCACATACGAGTGAACTCATCAGGCCAAATCTTTGGTCTTAAAATCCCCATAGATTGCATTAGATTGCTGGAGTAAATTGCCAATTTCAAGGACCCCAAACGGAGACCCTGACCAAAGTGCTGAGTTTCCGCAGGACAAATTGTCACCTTTTGCCCTCCTCAGAGTTTTTCGATGCGGGGAGCGGCATGACGGTGGAACCCATCGATGAGAGAAAGATCCCTGTGACGTGGCGGCAGCAGCGGCCCGGATTGGGAAGCCGACACAAACACAGCCTGGATACAGCCTGCAACTTTCACAGTTCTATCATGTTCTATCGCCAGTGTCTGAAAATTGATTCTGGAAAAAGCCCAAATCCGAGCCGAATTGTACCATTCTTGCACAGCCTCATATAGATCATATAGAGAGTCCAGGTTTGTTGATTTTATTCTACGATATCAGCATGCACTGCTGGCACAGCGGTAGCTTCACAGATCTTCACAGTCTTGGCTCCAACCTTATGAATGGGACTATGTAATATATATACTCAATGTATATATATATACATAATATATATATACATACATGTAATATATACATATATATATATACACATGCAATATACATATATATATATATATATATCCCGCAAAATTCATTAAGATTCCACCGCCATCCATGGATATCCAGTTTTTTGATTCCAGGGATGAACCTGGACCGGATCCAAGGACAGCTTCAACCAGTTCATGGAGAAGCACCATGCGTCGCCTCGTCTCTCGGCGAAGAATAACGACGATTTGAGGCACGCCGATTTGGTTCAATATTGGCTAGCCTCTGGTAATTCAACATAGCTGACATAGCTATTGAAGATTGCCCGCATTTATAGATTATTTTTTACCTATTAAACATGGTGATTTTCAATAGCTATGTTAAATTACCAGAGGGTACTCAAATTTCATGGTGAAGAATCACAGCGTAGAGTTTTCAGTCGCCCAGCATCTCGGGTACCCTGGGTTTGAACAATTTCTTGATCACCCAAAAGCGGTTCCCAGCCAGCGATGCATTGCAAGTGTGCATTAACCTCTGGTAATGACTAACAGTTAGCTATTGAAAATGGTCATAGAAATAGTTGATGACTACCCATTAAAAATGCATGGTGATTTTCCATAGTTATGTTAGTTCGTGTACCAGAGGGTAACCCATGGATTGCCACAATCAGGGGATTTATCTAACAATCAACCAGCAATCGTTTGAGATGAGATGGGTTAACATTATGTGAACGAAGGGCATAGAAACAACGCAAACTGGAAGGGGAGAACAGCAACCAGTTTTTTTTTTCTCCACCACTGGAAGGAATGCATACCATCATGTGGCTGGGGTCAGCACATCTCCAAGTATGTGTAGGTGTTCATCAGATTGCACAATTCATCATGTTACCAGGGTTGTAGTCAGGGTTGTGATTTGCATCAATGCTAGGGCTATGATCATGACACTGTCAATCCCAGGGATTCTGCATCTAGTATTGGCTAGACATGTTGCATCATCTTGCTGAATACATTGTGATATCACCATTTTGGAAGTCTTCTACCAATGGCCATTGTTTCTTTTGCACCAATCTGCTTTGGTGATATTTTCACAACGCCCCCATTGGTTAAGAGAGGATTATTTTTTCTCACTTCCTGGCACCTGGTAGCTTCACAGTTTGCCAATCTTTATCAGAAATACACAGTGACAAAATCATCTACCTAGCTAAACATCGGATAATTTTCGCACTTCGTATCTGTAGTCGTCCTGAAGAGCATAGACTATGAAAAGTTCAAACAAATCTCAAACAAAGGGATATGATGTGCTTTAAAAATCCATAATTGTTCACTACTTCAGGATGATTATGATAAACACACATCTAGTGACCATCACTAAAACACAACCCACAAATGATGTTTGGTGCCAGCCACCTCCAAACATCATATATCTTTCCCAACAAATCATCCGGCCATCCCATACCATCTTTTAATGTCAGCCATCATGAACACATCTACATATATATATATAATATAATATATAATATATAATATATATATATATATATACATATATATATATATGGTTTTCTAAAATTGGGGACCCTCAAAACCATGGGTTTCACTAAGTCATGTATATATATATATACACACACACATATGGGGGTTTTCTAAGATGGGGGATAGGGTTTCAATACTAAGTCATGGTCATCCATGACTTGGATGGGGGTAACCCCCATGACTTAGGAACCCTCCATTTTGGGCCATGGGGCTGATATCAAGGAATGGAGGCCTCGATGCATAACTTGTGGTGCAACGAGATCTCCGCGTATTCCCTGAACGAGGAGACCAAAGGCCTCATTCGCAAGGTGTGGAGATAACACAGGAGGTCTTGCAAAAGCCAAGGATTTTTTTGTTGAAATCTGATCATGGAGTTTTACAATGACATTTTATAATAGATTTTTTGTAATGCAGTTCCAAAACGACTTTTTGCAATTGGACAACGCACACACAGACACACACACACACATACATATATATATATATACATATACATATACATATACATATACATATCCATATCCATAAATATATAGATATATAGATATATACATATATATAGATATATACATATATACATATATACATATATACATATATACATATATACACATATACATATATACATATATACATATAGACATATACACATATACATATACATATACGCATACATATAATATACGCATATGTAAATGTATTATAAATGTAGCCAAGTATATGATATTCACCCCGCTTCGCGTGGGGTGGCCGCCCACACCGCAGGTTTAATTCGGTCCGTGAGAGGGGCTAAGGGTGGTTTTCCCCCGTGGGGGCTCCCCAAGCTAAGAATTTTCACTTTCCCCCCCCGTGGGGGCTCCCCAAGCTAGGGAATTTTCACTTTTCCCCCCCGTGGGGGCTCCCCAAGCTAGGGAATTTTCACTTTTCCCCGCCGTGACAGCTTCCCAAGCTATGGAATTTTCACTTTTCCCTCCCTTGGAGGCTCTCCAAGCTAGGGAATACTTTTCCCCATTTTATAATCACCATGTTCCCGGGAAAAAACCTCTTCCCAAGCTAGGGAATTTTCACTGTTCCCCGCCGTGACAGCTTCCCAAGCTATGGAATTTTCCCTTTTCCCTCCCTTGGAGGCTCTCCAAGCTGCGGAATTTCAAATAGCTAGACAACGACGCCTAGATAGTCCCCAAATCCCGTGTTCTTTGAATGTGTTTCCATGTTTTTGCAATGGTTTCCTTCAAAGCACGGTACTTTACACTTTTGTCGCCATAAAACCGGTCGAAAACATCATGTTCGACAATGCTTCCAATTCCCTTATCTCCCCAACCGTTGAAAATACCGCTATTTACAGTGTTTTCTTCAATTTTTCCATGTTCCAATGCCGGTAGCCAAGCCCAACATATATATAAGAAATCCTTGCAAGACATTGTGTTTGACAGTGTTTTTCCAATGTTTCCAGTCAAACAGACGGTAATTTACACGTTTTTTGCCATAAAGGCAGTAAATCCTTCCAAAACATTGCTTTTGACAGTGTTTTTGTAATGTTTCCAGTCAAACATACAGTAATTTACACGTTTTTTGCTATAACGTCAGTCCAAAACACTTGTTTTTGCAGTGTTTTCAATGCTCTGGCATCCAAAAACCCTGCAAAATCTTGCTATGTACAATGTTTTTTTTCATTTTTGGCCGTTTTTCCATTGCCGGAAAGCTACCAAAATGACCCAAAATTCCATTTCAATACCCTCTTGCGCTCAGACACCCAAAAATCCTCGAAAAATGTCGAAAACACCACCGTATTCTGGTCTCGGTGCGAAACCGTTTTTGGGGTCTGGTCTCGGTGCGAAACCGTTTTTGGCCCCCCCCCCCCAGCTAAAGCTGATATAGCGACTGCTATATTAACAAATGTCATTGAGCATTTAGTGTTGCTGTTGCCCCCCAATAAGCACGCCTTCACCGCCAAAGCGGTGTGGGCGGATTTGGGTGTGTCATGGTGTGACCGAAAATACAGCACAATCTCTCGTTCCTTTTCATTTCGTAGGACAGTGGCGATTTGAGCCATGAAAAATACCTCGTTTTTGCATCTTCTTATACCAGTTGGTTGATAGGTTTCCCAATCCTATGGGGCCCATCATAATTCCCAATAAACCAGGTAGTATAATTTTATCCCCTATAGCAATCACTTCACCAGGGTGAAGATGGAACCACCAGGGTCCAATGAATATGGCAACCAAAAGGTGGAAACATGAACGGGAGCGTTTCCAATGCTGGTTCGTATTGTTTGGGTGGACCCACCTTGACAGCCGGCTGACCACGCGTAGGTCTATGCAGAAGACTTCCGCCTCGCCTGCAAATACTTTGGCTACTGCGCAGCTTGGCTGAACAAAGGCTCCATCAAACCCACTGAACAAAATCCAGACCTGAAAATTGACATGGAATCCTCGAAAAATCTTGGACCATCTTGGACCTTGGAAACTGATTTAGGATGATTGGATGGTGAGTTGGAGATGGCACTTCGAGGGTTCTCTGAATCTTAAAGGTGTGTAGATATCCGAGGAATTCAGAAAGGGACTGGGGTTGAACGGTTGAACCCCCAAAAAGGCTTTCGCTCCAAGGATTGGATGGTTTGTTCGTGAACGTGGCCAAAGTTATAATGTTTGAGCAATATGTGCATTGTGCATATTATGTGTATATATATATATATTCACAGTATGTATATATATATATACACACATAATATGTATTTTGATTTGCGCAGGATGTAGAAACAATGCATTTCAACCGGCTGGCTTTGCTGATGCTTGTATAATTGGACCCAAGATCACTGTAAACTTCGTATGATATTTGGGGTATGACTCCAGTCAGCAGAGACCTGAAAAGTGTATGTTACCAAGAAAAAACGGCCACGACGACTTTGGCTCGATCCCACTGTGGGGATGGTTTTGATCACTTGTTCTTGATGGGTGTGAACATGGGGGATACCCCAGTGAATTTTCATTGGGGGAATATGCTGATTCACCAGTGGATTTAGGGTTTTCCCAGAGTTTCCAGTCTGCCGAATGCGCACATGGTCAAGTTACAGGGTTTATATTTCCATAACTTCGGGGATGGTCATCAATCCATCAATTCATTTTCACTTCCGGATTTACATACCGATTTATTTTAGATTATCTGTAAGGATTGCCATGACACAGCGCTTCTAGCGTTTCTTGCGTTGCCGAGGACGATCATGAGATGTTCTGCCATGAGAACATCCCGGATATGCGACTTGGTGGACGCCATGGACCCTGGAGATGGGGATGATTTTTAGACCGGGGTCATGGGGGTGTCACCGTGGGGTCTTTCAAATTGCCATGAAAACCATGGTGAGATCATTGATGAATACAGGATTCATGTGTGTTTTTTGATGTTTAGTGACTGTATGGGGGTCATCGTAATGTAATTATTGGGGATGATCATAATCCATGAACTGGGAATTCCCATTGACTTGTCACTAGAAGCGAATGCCAACTGAGCAGGGTTTCTCAAAGATCATTTGGAAACTCCGGACCCTGAAAATGGCAGATTTTTCATTTACTTTGGTGGATTTTTTGTAAGGGGAACCTTCCCCATGGTTGGCCTAGTTTCAGATTGGTGAATTTCCATGTGATGGCACATACCTTGTCATTTTTTGTATCAACCCTCCAAAATTTGAGGTACCCAGTTTTGATCCATATCCATCCATCTCCATGATTTCAAGGGTAGTCAACGGCACACGTGGATTGTTGTGCCCGATTTCCACCTTTAAAAACGGCCATAGGAACCAGAGACAACCACAGAATCCAGGATGATCTACCCCTGTTTTTCAGACGAAGCTAGTTTGAACCATGGAGTTCCAAAGATGCTTCCAATCCATTCTACTCCTGATGGATCTATTGTTGGGTGTCATATTGATTCTAACCCTATTTTTCTTAAAGAAACATATATAATTATCTGGAGATGACTGGAGGAAAACCAGCAAGGTTGGTGACAGTGACCCTTTTGTGCTGGCTCCAAATATCTTTCACGTTTGCATTTATGTTTTATATAGTAGGGGATCGCCCCCAGTGTGAGAAAAAACATCTGAAGCCAAACTTGTCATAGAAAAAACCTATTGTAGGTGAACCATAGCCATGATCTGGGTATATTGGTCATTTTACATCTTGAGTTACCCAGTTTGCCACCCTTGCATCTGGGGTGTTGGGAGCCCTGTGGAGCCATCACAGTATGTGGCTGATTTCTACAAAAAATCTATCGTTGGAACAGGGTTTAACAACCTGGATATTCTGGTGTTGATATTCCAATCGGTTTTTGAACAAAACATCCACTGTTGCAGGATGAAACTCAAATTTTCTTGCTTCGATCCCCATTGCTAGTTCCGTTCAACTGGAGTAGCCACCAACTGAGCAGTCTTTTTACCGCTTGGGTGGGAATCAGATTTCAGGATGAAAGCGGAGAGCAGAAGGAATCCTTGTTGGGATGCGATCAGGTGTTTAATGGAATCTCAATAGGTTTTCAATGGAAGTTTAATAGAAGTTTAATGGGAGTTTAATGGGATTAGTATATTATTGAGATTGAATGGAAAGTAAGGTTGTTTTCCTTGTTGTTTGCTTCATTCTATCTGTTCTCTGACTTTGACTTTGACGGGGGTTGAAGGTGCCTTCTATGTGTCCAGAGGTGCCAGCCTTACCCAACAGAATTTCACAGGATCAAATCTTCCTGAACACATATAGTGATACCATCTGGTTATGACATGTTATGACTAACAGTTTGCCATGGAAAGATCCACCATTTTTAATAGGTAAACCAGCTATAAATGGGCCATCTATTGCATGGCTATGTTAAATAACCAGAGGGTATATATATATATATATACATATAATAATCATCATTTTAGAAAAGGGGCTGGTGAATGGTTGAACGATTGGTTAGCACAGAGGTCACTGGAAACCTTCAGGACCCCCCTTGGAAATCCGCTTAAGTTTAACTATATGTTTTTTCACGCATTTGAAGGCCCTAAATTCAACATGGAACCTCAATTCTGGATGATTTTCAGATGATTTTCGCCCAGGTGCGGCTCCAAGCCAAAGTGAGCCCAGATTTCTGGGCCGGAAAAAAACCATCGCCCAAATGGGCTGATTTCAGGCATGATGTCATGCCAAGTTATGGATGAAAAGAGCGAGTTGCGACAGTTGCGAGGAAGTCGCTGCTGCATTTTTGGGCCCCAAAATGAATCCGTTAAACAAGGCTGAAATAGCATGGCATAGCTGAAATGGATGACATCAGTTGAGATCACATATTTGTTCAGGGATGTTCAGGGTAGAACAGTTCATGTTGATGTTTTGGGAGCCAGGAATTGTTGATCACCTTATGCCACTGGCATGTCAGAATGAGCCCAGAAGATCGATTTGCTACATCCATTTTTTTGCTTCAAAATGGATCAAAATGGTCCATTTATGATTTTTCTGTTGTTCAGAATGGTTCATTTATGATTTTTCTGTTGTTCAAAATGGTTCATTTATGATTTTTCTGTTGTTCAAAATGGTTCATTTATGACTTTTCTGTTGTTGAAAATGGTTCATTTATGACTTTTCTGTTGTTGAACATGGTTCATTTATGTCTTTTCTGTTGCTGTTGCTCTTCAGCAAAATGCTTATCGAATGCTGTTGCGCTGTTGATTTAGGATCAGACAACGCGAAAACAAAAATGCTTCAGCATTTCCCCAGAGATGCCGAATATGAAGCCAGGATGATACTTGGATGATGTTTTCCCTGGAATTTCCAGCTTTCCAGCTTTGAAAAACAACGTTTGGGGATTGCCAAAAACACGCTGAGTAATTTTCCCGGAATTTGAATACTTGAGTATCAATTGGAGGGCAAGTCTGGTGCCAGCAGCCGCGGCAATTCCAGCTCCAATAGCGGAATTCTGTTGAGGATGACCGGTCTGCCCTCTGGATGTGCATCTGGCTCAGCCTTGACATCTGCACTTGACTGTGTGGTGCTGTATTTGGGACGTTTAACGTGAGGAAATTAGACTGTTTCAAGCAAGCGTGTGCTTTGAATACATTGGCATGGAATAATCAGATAGGACCTCAGTTCTATTTTGTTGGTTTCTACAGCTGAGGTATGGATTGATAGGGATAGTTGGGTGCATTCGTATTAAACTGTCAGAGCTGAAATTCTAGGGTTGTTAAAGACAGACTACTGCGAAAGCATTTGCCAAGGATGTTTTCATTGATCAAGAATGAAAGTTAGGGGATCGAAGACGATCATAAACCATGCCAGCTAGAGATTGGAGGTCGTTACTTGCATGTCTTTTTCAGCACCTTACGAGAAATCAAAGTCTTTTGGTTCCGGGGCGAGTATGGTCGCAAGACTGAAACTTAAAGGAATTGACAGAAGGATGGCCAAGCACGTTCCAGCACAAACACCACAGATGGGGTAGATATTTTTGGTATTTTGGGAAGGGGGAGCAATTGCCCACATATTTGTAAAAATCGGACTTAAAGCTGACTCAAGTGAAAAAGAAGTCTAATTATAGAATGGGCTAGCGCCCAGGTGCCGCCGACCCCCCTAATTGGAGGGGGGGTACTGTAGAGAGAGAGAGGGAGACGGACAGCAAGACAAACATATGGCCGTTTGCTTCTCAAGCCTGTGGCCTTGTCGTCGCTTTTGCGTGCGGGCGTGGCGCCTGTTGGGGTTGTTGGGGTACCTTTTGCATCGGAGTTGGGCGGACTTTTGGAGGAGTTGGGGTTTGGAGGGTTTAACGCCTATAAGAAGCCATTGCTGCGGCCGGAAGGTGCCCTTGAGCCATTGCTGTGGCCTTGTGGTGGCTTTTGCGTGCGGGAGTGGCGCGTGTTGAGCTTGTTGGGGTACCTTTTCCCTGCGGAGCTATGCGAACTTTTGGAGGGTTTGGAGGGTTTTGGAGGGTTTGAGGCCTGGCAAACGGCAGCCTTGAAC